TCCCACTCTCCATTGACAAACAACTCGAGAATCCTGTAGTCGACCCAGCAGCTGAGTTTTGTGGCAGAGCCAGGACAATTCAGCTCCTGGATTTTAATAGATTCTGCAGCAGTGCAACAGGAACCAAAATTCAGTCTGGGTAACTGAGAGTGGTTTTCACACCCAAAGACTCTAAGGCTGGCCACAGTGTACTGAGAATCCTGGCTTTTCAAAATTCCAGGGCCATGAAGTCATCCTTAGCCACGAAGTTTACTTAACCCTTGCAGCCGGCTTGGGTGTACAAACCACGGCTGGAAAATTAGAGCCCACCAGGCCAGAGTCACAATGGACTGTGTGTATTTGCGGTTTTCCTCTTTCCCAGTGAAGTATTTAAGGGTTCGAAGTCACTCCACCAACTTCAAGTAAAATAGAGTCAGCACTTTAGAAGGAAATGGGCAGAAGTAGTGGATTTTTTTTTTTTTAGGATAACTTTCTGGGTTCATACCAGGAATGATATTTGACAGCCTCAGAGCACATACTTTGAGGAAAACACTGGTGCAAAATAAACAAAAGAGTGGGTGCTGACAGAGAAAGCTATCTAAGCAGCCTCGTTTAGCAGCCAGTAGAGTGGGCTCTCTTTGTAGCAACTTCAAGGGAACGAGACCAATCTGAAAATGCCTCTGCAAGGCTTTGTTTGAAAATGCAGCATCATGTAAGAGCCATTTCAACAGATGGTTCTTGTCTCTTTCCTCATAGTATTATGCTAAAACAACTTTAGTGATTCTGAACCACATTGTTAGCACTTGTACAGCCCCTCCCCCAAAGCAGAGAGTACTTCTCTCTTTCTCTCTGGCGCAGTGTCTAGTGGTCTGTATTTTCCCCCTCCTCCAGAACAAGGTAATAAAAAAACGAGAACTACTTTCAGATGGTCCCACCACATGGGGGAAAGGGTAGCAAGAGAACAAATGGAGATTTATTTTTACACGATAGTACTTTCTGTGCTGCAGAAACAGAACTCTCCTTTCTTGCCTTTCTTGGACTTGAGATGATAATGCAAAAAAAAAAAATTTAAAGGGTGGGGGGCAGGAGACAAGGAAGAGGGGAGTGCATGGAAGATTACAGCTTCAGTCAGAGTCCCTGACCCCAGCAGCTCCACGTATCTGGCCGGTGTAATTTAATGTCAGGCAGCCTTGTCGCCTGATCCCTCAACCTCCGGATTTGCAGGCTAAGCCAGCAGCTTTCTCCTGAGTTCCTCTGCCATTGGCACCTCAGTAGTAACGCTATTATAAACAACACACTTAGCACATAGTTATTCCAGCGAATCCTCATGAGGAAATACTGAAATAGCACCACCCTCCTCTATTAAATTTAAAAGGAGGAAAACTAAAAACAGAAACTAACTGGAAACCTAGAGAAAGTAAATATTTATATTAGCAAAATTTTAAAAATTGAATACTGAAGATCCAGAAAGAGAGAAAAATGTCACGGTAAGGCCATCATTAGTGATTACAGTGAAATTTTCAGGCCATATATATGGTCATAATTAGGTGTGATGGGGGGAGGGTGTACAAAACAGTGGAAGAGATTCTAAGACATTGAAGACAATAAAAAAACACCCAGAGGGAAGGCATAACTATGGAGAGAGTAAAAATACCAATGGGTGGAGGGGCAGGAATGAATAGGTAGAGCACAGGGGATTTTTAGGGCAGTGAAACTATTTTGTATAATACTGTAATAGTGGATACATGTCATTATGCATTTGTCAAAACTCATAGAATGTACATCACCAAGAGTGAACCCTAATGTAAACTATGGACTTAAGTCAATAATTATGTATCAATATTGGCTCATGAATTATAACAAATGCACCACACTAACAAAAGATGTCAACAGTGGGAAAAACTGTTTGGTGGGGCAGGGGTATATGGGACTTGTGTATTTTGTGTTAGACTAAAACTGTAGACCTAAAAAACTTCTCTAAAAAAAGTTTATTAGTTAAAAAAAAAATCACACCTGAAAACAAATCCAGGAAAAAATTTTAATTAAGTATTTTACTTGCTTTGGTTTATAAGAAAATAGTATTAACCTTTTTTTTCAAATGCACAAATTAATAAGCTACAAGTTTATCAAATCAATGAGAACTGATTATTCAATAAAAGCACAGAATCCTTGGATCCTATTTAGTTCTGTAAAGCAGTTGTAAGAGAGGTCATGACAAAAATGTTTGCAGTCAGCTAGCTGAGTACAGCAAAGGAAGAAGAGCAACTGCTTCACCTATTGGGAGCATCATGGTATCCTTTATCTATAAAAAGGGACACAAACGCCAAACATGGGAGGACCAAATGAAGTATTTATAAAGTGCCCAGCACAATGCCTGGTACATGGTATATGCTTGATAAATGCTAGCTTCTATAATTTTTCATATTAGTATTATATCATACTCCTAAGAGGGAGTATGTGTTTAATCAACCTATGTGCCAGTTAGCTTATTTCTACTTGAAGGATACAGGATGCACCACTACCCCACTCATCTGCAAAAAGTGTCCACTACAGCTCTGAAATGGATGCTTAGTTCTTCCAACATGAACACAAAAGGAAGAGCAGAACTGCAAGGAATGGTTAAGGATGTCAACTCCATCATGTGGCTTGGCTATCAAGTCTTACAGAAAGGTGTGTAGGTAAGGAAACCTGAGCTGGGGGAGCCTTATCCCAGCAGCCACAGAAATCTTGTGAAATTTACCCTGACAAACTGAGATTAAAGATCTGCAGGAAAGAGGGGTCTCTGGATTACAGTCGACCAGTTTGGCCTGAAGCCATGATTCTGCTGACACAGCCCAGACCCACTCGTGCCAAACAGTTTCCGTCAGCACGAGGCCATGTGTGAGTGAGTCCCAGAGCGATTACACAGCAGTGTGCTGAATCAAAAAGCATTCAAGAGCTGAAGGATGTTCATGATGCCAGGCATTGGCTACACAGTCCCCTGAACGGGGACAGGAAACAAATCCAGGTCCCTCTGCAAATTCATTCCCTGTCCAGCCATACCCCCTGGCAGTCTTGAAGGCAGGTTTAGAATTCGCTTGGCAACCATGCTATCTTAGACTGAATGGAGGTCTAATCCAGCTTGAGACTGACAAGCTTTGGGACAGAAGACCTTACAGGAAAATATAGGAAGGAGAAGAAGGATGAGATGCTGGGGACGGTTCTGAACAGCCTGGGCCTTCTCATTCACCCCCTGGCCTGGGGACACTGGTGATAATGTACACATCACAGCATCCAGGGTAAATGGTCCAGTGCTCCACTCTTCAGAGTTAAAAGGATTTCCTTTTCACTTTTTAAGGCTATGTTTAAATCCCAGTAAGGGCTCAATGAATATATTTCCCTGTACTGCTACTATGACAGGAATACTCTGCTATATACTCCCTATATTACTATTATTATTAAAATTACAACAAAAGTGGGATATTTATCATTTTAAAAGTTTTAAAAAGTAGCAAAAGCTATGCATGTGCATTGTTATTTGTCTATGGTAAATAACTGGCTAATCAGCTGTGCCATAACTAGGCAGCATATGCCCTCCAGGTTAATGAAGTAATCCAGTCTCTACTTACCTGGTTGGTACCTTAAGCACACATCAGCAACTTTTCCAGTCCAAGTCACAACCTGCTTCTCCTACTGCCTCACTCCTTAGGACTGCCACTCCTCTACACAGAACACCTCAGCATCGACTTCTAGAATTCTAACACCCACAGCTCCCTTTCCACTATTTTCCCTCTCTAGTCTCACATTGTAGATTTCTTCACGTTCCCTTGGGCCAGTCTATGAGTATGGATTCTAGCATTATAGATAGAGACTTAGCTTAACCATTTGCCCACTGCTTGGCTTCAGATAAACAAATAGATCCTCAATCCAACTCATCTGTAAAACTGAAGGCAATTTCTTATCTGACAAGTTTATTGCCAGAATTAATTTACATAACAGACAAAGGCCTAGCTCAGTGCCTGGCAGAGAGCAAACGCTCACTAGTCATTAGATTCTCCCCTGCACCCAGGTTGTGTGTCACCCTCTGGCCTCTCAAGACTCTTCCAGCCTACGAGTGACTGAAAGAAGAACAGACAGAATCTGGGCTTGCGAAATCAGGATGGCTTGACTTGCTTGACCTGGCATCTTGTCATGAGACTGCCTGGCTTACTCGGTCAATCCTGCAAGCCTGGAACAAAGCGAAGGGGGGCTATGAACTTGAAATGAAAATATTTATTTTTACTCCACCTGATTCCACAAAGGGGCTGATGCTGCCTGAAACTAATTTCAACAAGGTAAATTTTGAAGTGGTGTTTTGAAGTAGGTGGAGGGGTAAAAAATAAAATTTTAATATTTGGTATTTATTTTTCCTTCTTTTTATTGGCACCTAGACTATCACAGTAATTGTAGGTATGCTTTTAAATAAAAACAGAAATACGTTCTTAAGGGAAGGCAATTCTGTACGTGTGTACGTGTGTGTGCGTGTATGAGAGAGAGACAATCATATAATGTGTCCTTGTACTTGCTACATTATGTCATAGCAAAAATACAATCAACGGGTCTTTGATCAATGGAACAGGGTGGTGACAGGTACTCCTCATTCACTGTTGTTAGTCTTTATTGACAAGCTGGTAATGATCATCCTGTACTGTGTCACTCACACTGAGGGCATTAGCATTGTTTAAAGGTCAAAAACAAATTCTTTTAAAATGCAGAATTTCTTAGAAATCCAGGAAGCCTCAGAATTTTTTAAAACTAAGTTCACACTGCAAACTAGAGAATATGTGAGACCCTCAGAATTTGGGTCCTTCCACCTCACATTAAAATAATATTTAATCTTTCCTGATTTGAATTCTTGGCAGTCAGACTATGTGTCAGAATTCTCCCAACGAGCAGATGAAAAGGGGATTCTGAAAGCTCTGCATGTCTCTAGGAGTCCTCCGCAGAAAGTATGCACAAACCCAAGGCAAATCTGTACCAAATCAAAGCAAAATTATACTTACTCTGTGACACTCTTACTAGCTCAGTCACACTGAAAACACCTGATGTGACAAAACTGTCCTGGAAGCCCAAATGTCCTGGGGAAACAAAAACAAAAGAAAACAAAGTGTCATAAATAGAAGACATTTGACAACAGAACTCTAAATATTAGTTTCACTATGATTAAACAATGTGATGCCTAATCTCATTCTCTGCTTAGCTGGGGTTTCTGTGGGAGGGCACAGTCATTTAGCTATGGAGTTAGTTTTTTTGGTTTGACTCTGGAGGTTGTGGAAAGCTGTGACACAACACCTACTGGCTGATTTCTGAAATGGTTAAAAAAAAATTCAACAGGAAATCTGAAACAAAAGACAATTCAAAATAAATGGTTACCTTGGGTGACCTCTGAGACCTCAACAATCTGGATGAAAACAGCATACCTAAGGAGCAGCCAGAGAGCTGAGTTCCATATTAGTTTTTAAACGTTATTCTCTAAAAACACATCTGATCCGGATTAGTTATCCATTCATTTAACTCAAACAAGATTTAAAGATGTTCCCTTCATTTCTAGAGGCACCACAGGGTGAATTTTTGAAAAGCCAGAATAGAAAAAGCAAGCCCTGACTCATAAAACATGAAAATAAGTTCTCTTGAGCACAAATAAAAATGTAGGTTTTTTTTTATACACACAAGAGCTTTCTGTGTTGGTTAACTTTTTCTTTTTTTTTTTTTTGAGAAAGCATAAATAAATCAATGGTTCAACAATGGCTTAATGTTTGAACTTTATGTCTGCTTCATTTCTGCTAGATATAATTAATTTTCTTGAAGATATCTGATATTATGTCTATCACCAATCACTCATTTAATTTTATGGTATATTCGGAAACATAAAACTTAACAAATGGCAAGGAGTTCATAATCTATGATATGTAGTTTTCCTCTCTGCCTGTAAAATTTTCTGATGCTAGGAGTCTCACATAGGTAGATTCTAGTTGAGAGATCTGTCTAAGGTCAGCTTAATCTTTACCTGCTTTACAATTTGGGAGAGAGGAGAAGTTGTTGGCTGATGGGATTTTTGAAATAACTGTTCTTTGAAATAAGAAACATACCTTTTAGAAATACGATATAAGAAAGTAGGACAATGTGAATATATAACAATCTATAAATAAAATGTATGTTATTGATGAAAGCTAGATTTTTATACACTACTAAGGGGAAGCAAGTTTACCTGTGGCACAGTATAACCACCAATAAATTTATTAGATGTCATGTACATAAACACATGTAAAAAATCACCATGTTTAGGGGGATTATAAATGGACCTGCAAACTATTTGTCTTTTTTTGGTTACACTGGATTTTTGCATACGAAAGATTTTTACTGAGATTTAAAAGAAAAATTTCAGTTAACTTTTATATCAAACACACAATCTATAGTATTTTAGATAAAACGGTTCTAAGTTTTAGGACATAGAATTACTGTAAACTACTTTTTAAAATAAAATGGAAAAATTTCACCGTAAACGTGCTTAAGAAATTTCACCTCTCAAAACCACTCACACCCAAGTATTCAGTTGGCTTTTATTTGGTAAGTGCCTAAGGTGCTGTTTCTTGGATTAAGAGAACTGAAAGGTAGAAAAATGAATAAATGAAATAAAATTCTCTAATGAGGTCTTGGCAAAACAGACCATAACATTTCCTTCTTATTAGGACACAGTTAACATCACATTTATCCCACAGATCATAACAAAGGAAATCCAACCACAACGAACATTAAGGTTGACTTAAAACACATAGAACAATAACAAGGAAATTCACAGTTGAGCAGGAAAATCTGGGTTGATCTCCAGCTCCTGCTTGTCTCTGTCTTTATCACTTGACTTGCGGGCTGATACTTGTTTCAGTTCCAATCTTTGAAATTCCTTATTTTAGGGATGAGCTAACACGAATTCCTGTTCAGAGTGGATGTAAACACATGCACTTTAATCCTGCCACCTCAAAGCAAGCAATATATTTTATTTTATTTTATTTATTTATTTCTATATATATAGAAGTGTTTTTCTGTATTTTTTTTTCTTTTTTTCTTTTAGCATATTATGGGGGTACAAGTGTTAAGGTTACATATATTGCCCATGCTCCCCCTCCTCCCTGGAGTCAGAGCCTCAAGCGTGACCATCCCCCAAACGTTGCACATTTAAAGACTGAGTTGAGTTTGGTGCAAAGACGTGGGAAGGGGCAGGACCTCTGCATTCATCCACTCAAAGTACCACCCTCTCCAGGTTGCCCCTTTTCTTTTGTCCACCTCTTAAATGCTGTTTTCCGGGGTCTGTGCTCATTTCTCCCTGTATATATATATATGTGTGTGTGTGTGTGTGTATTTCCTAAGTTGTTTTATCTACTTCCATGTCATCAGCTACCAGTCTAGACAGTAATATTTACATGAAAACTAGAATAATGTTTGTTTTGTTCACCACTGTATCCTTAATACCTGAAACAAAGCAGTTAGTGAGTGTCTGTTCAACCAGTAGACAAATGAATCTATAGGCTGATGTCTCTCAAATCTTTATCTTTTGCCAAGATCTTTCTCCTGGGTTCCAAACCCATAGACCTAAGTATGTGTTGGACATTCTAGTCAGATAGCCCATGGGTTTTCTCAGTCTCAACATATCCAAAGCTGGACTCATTTTCTTCTCCCTCAAAAACCTGTTCCTACTCTTCTGAGTTCCCTATTTCAAGGAACCATTCACCATTTATCTAGTTTTCTATGTTTTAGTGTCATCCCTGACTCCTGTCTCTTACAATCCCATACATCCAATAAATCCCCACTGATTCTGTGACTCTTGACTTTAGGTATGTCTCCATCTCCCTCCTACAACCGTGGCTCAGGGTCTTCCCACTTCTCACCAGCTGGATGGAAAAGCATCCTAACTATGTCTCTACTATCAGTCTTGGATTCCGCTCCAGTCTATTCTCCACTCTTTAGCTGTGGCTGCCTCACTAACAGGCAAATATGAAGATTTGTTCATTTACTCCACGAATATTTATTGAGCACCTACCATGTGCCAGGCATTGTGCTAGGGGCTCAAGATACAGTCCCCTACCTAGATTGACAGTTTAGAAGTAGAGACAGCTGAAAACATGTAAAACAAATGAATTATTTTAAAAATTATAAATGGTATAAACGGTAAGAATAAAACAAATAGCAAAAGCTTTATAAAGGGAAGTCAGGGAAGTCAGCCTCTCTTAAAAGCTAATATCTGAAAGTTATTAAGGGGCCAGCCAGGAAAAGAAGGAGGAAGAGCTCTTTAGCCAGAGGGATTAACACATGCAAAAGCCCTGAGGTAGGAAAGAACAAGGTGTTGGAGAAACTGAGATAAATCCAATGTGTTTAGAGCTCACTGCTCTATCAGACAGAAATCTTGAAAGACCCCTAAAGAACATTCAGGGTGCAGTGCAAACTCTTTCCCATGGCATATGGCCTCTATATAGCCTCAGTTTTGTTCTCCAAGCTCGTTTTTTATCTCCTATCTCTTCCTTCTGGCTCTACTCCTTGGCCTAAGAGAACTACATGCTCCTCCCTGGACCTGGTTTACCACTGTCCCCAGTACTGCTCCTTCTTCCTGTCTATTCTTTGCTTGGCCATCTCCTATCTGTCCTTTAAGACTCAGCTTTGTTGTCACCTCTACCAAAAATCTTCCCTTGTTGTCCCATCCACTGGGGAAGACTCCTTTTCTCTTTTCATAATATCAACAGGGTGTACTCTCTATATAGCTCTAACCTAGAACTTAGCACACTGAATTTGTAATTTTGTCTTTTTCTCATCTGAGACTGTGATCCCTTTGAGGGGAGGAAGCATCTTCTGTGTCTTTGGCCCTGCAGGTCCTAACACAGTGCCTGGCAGGTGGTAACTACTCTGGAGATGCCTCTGAATGAACAAAACTCAAGTTGGGCTCAGCTATGTTTATTTTATAAAAATGTTCATAGAACTTCTGATTTCTGTCTCTTTCTCTCATTTCTAGCAATATAGTTTGAACTACAAGTGAGCCAATCTGCACTGGAACACTATTAAAATAAACTCTCCAAATATTCCCTCCAAACTAAGCAGTACCAGGACGGGACAGACAATGAGAAATGCCTGGGGATGGTCCTGTTGCTATCATCATGGTTCATATTTGGGGAGATCAAGTATTAATAACAACAGAGTTAAAGGGCAGTGTTATTGCCCATCATAGACCAAAAGGGCCCACTCCAAAAGAGATTTAAGCTTAAACTAAGATCCCAAGCTTAAACTAAGATCTTGTGTGATCCTGAGAAAGTCACTGCAAAATTAACAATTTCATCCTCCCTACCCTACCAGCAACCCGCCTCCCAGGGCTTACCTTAGTAGAATGTGTGTTTACCTTATAAATTTATAAGGTAAAATATATGTGAATGTATAATAACCAGAAAAATAAAAATAAAGAGTATAATTATTTCACAATTTTGGTGTAACCATCTCTTTGCAGTATTATCAGACAGCCTTGGCTAGTTTGTGTTTATCATGTGTCCCCGAGGAAAGGTCTGTGTAAACACTCCACGCAACTTCAAACGGCTATGAAACTGCTTTTGTTCCTTCACCAATTACTTGGAAACCCACTGATGAAGTCTGTAAGAACACAGCAATGAGAAATGAAACCTAAGAAATGATGGAAAAAGTGATATTGCTAACGTAATTACTAAGTGAACCTGAGTGAATTAATATTTCATTCTCACTAACACAAACCAAATCATAAAAATGACTTTCAGGGAAATTACACTAATCTGGCTATTCTACATTATTGCAAAATGAGAGAAAAGTGGAAGAGAAAATAAAAGGTAAATTTAAGCAATTCCAAATTCAGATGTTATTAGCATTAAAAGATCCTCAGATGGCAAGCTCATTAAACATTCCTGAAAGGTCCCAAGATTTACATTTTGAATAGGGCCTCTCGGAAAAAAGTGCAAAACATACACTTTTGTTAAGTATGCCTTAGATGAAAAGCCAGATTGCTCAATGATCTATCTCTACAATTCTGTACTACTGTTCAGAGCAATTGTATAGGAGATTGAAATGAGGAGCA